GTGGGCGGCATTCTCTAGGCTGAGATCTTCAGACGCTAACTAGGGTGTCTGAGCAAATCTTTATGCATTTGTGTGCTCTGTCATTACAGTTGTCATTCCTTTTATTGTGAGGAGAGGAAGAAAGAATTGCACTGTTTTTTTCCCTACAATTCCATTGAAGAAATGAGGAAAAACTCATTTCCCCCTAATTTAAATAATCCTTTGTAGGAAATTGTTTAAGAAATGCATAAAAGGTTCCATGCTATTCTAAAAATTAAGATATTATTTCATCTCTCTTATCCTTCCTGTATTCTTCAGCTTACTCCTCTGCCCCCAACAGACACGATTAAGCGCTCAATGAGGGTAAAGTAGAAAATGCAGAGAGCTTGCATTCAAAAGGTTTTAATCTCTTGCAGCATAAGACTAGATTCTATATTCTTGAATTCTATAAATATATTGGACATAATTTCATGTATTTTTTCTAGGTGCTGGGGATATAGTAATAACCAAGAGGTGTTGTTATTAGTCAGAGGAAAGACAGACAACCAGTAAACAAATAAAGATGTTGCTATGTGCTTTCAAGAAAATGAAACAGTATGTTATAATAGTGAATGTAGGTACTATTCTAGATTGACCAATTAAGGAGGGTGTTTTTAAGGGTAATTTTTGAGCTGATGCCTAGATCTGAGTGAGAGCCCTATAAAAATCTAGGGGAAGGGTATTCCAGGCAGAGGGGAAAGCTCGGTAAAGACCCTAAAGTAAAAATGACCTTGGCGTGTTAAGAGAACAGGAAGAAGGCTCACGTGACTGGAAGCTATGGGTGAATAAATTGTTGGAAGGGGCCAGGTCATGTAGGATCTTGTAATATATAGCAAGGATTTTAGATTTTATTTTAAGTGAAAACGGAAATTATTGGAGAGCATTAATCAGAGGCACAATGTGATTTATTTTTTAATTTCCATTTTTCATTTTTAAAAAATATTTTATTTATTTATCTTTAGAGAGGAAGGGAAGGAGAGAAGGAGAGAAATATCAATGTATGGTTGCCTCTCATGAGTCCCCTGCTGGGAACTGGCCTGCATCCTAGGCATGTACCCTGACTGGGAGTCGAACCGTGATCGTGTGGTTTGCAGGCCCACACTCAATCCACTGAGCTACACCAGCCAGGGCTTGATTTTATTTATTAGTAGAAAGGGAGAGCCTTATATAATGCAAACATTTAACACTGGGAGAGAAAATTTGATACTTATTTAATAAGGAGCTTTGGGTAGTAGATACTTTCCCTCATAAAAACCAGTTTCCTCATCTATAAAGGTGAGGATGAGAATATTTGCGTACCTTCCAGGTTGTCAAGAATTTTATAATTGGAAAGAAATCCTAGTAAATCTCTAAGATAAATAAATCCTCATAAGGCAACTGAGGCTCAGCCAGGTTAAGCAGCTTGTTCATCTTCGGATGGCAGGGACAGAGCTGGTGGTAAGTGCTGGTATATTGTTTTTGTTTTGTTTTCCTCGATGCCATACTGCATATTCAGCATGTCAAGTGAAGTTAGCAACAGAATGGAAAGGGATTTTGTAAATGTTCAAGTACCAAACGTAATGATATGAGACATAATTGTTTTCACTTTACCCTGGGAAGACAAGCTGTCATAGGAGATTGTTTATTTAGGAAGGAAGTTCTAGTAAACAAGTTGTGCTGGTTTTTCTAACGCATCAACCACATGTCTTCAGTGGAAATTAGAATTGAAATCCAGTGAAGAGAAAATAGAAGTTATTGTGAAAATGGTGAATAGCACGAAAGATTTTGTTCTTTGTTATGTACTGCATATTTGTGACCCTCTAAAATTCATCTATTGAATCCCTGATCCCCAATGTGTTGGCATTTGGAGATGGGCCTTTGGGAGGTAGTTAGATCACGAGGGTGGGGCACTCATGATGGAATCAGTGTTCCTATAGGAAGAGAGTGAGAGAGTGCCTTTCTCTCTGTTCTCTACCACGGGAGCGGATACAGTGAGAAGACAGCTGCCTGTAAACCAGAGAGCAGGTTCTCACCAGACATCAGATCTACCGGCACCTTGATCTTGGACTACCCAAGTCTCCAGACTGTGAGAAATAAATGTCCATTGTTTTGATCCCCCAGTTTATGGTAATTTGTCAGAGCAGCCCAAGCTAAGACATTCTCCTTTAGTGTCTTTACTAGGAGTGCCAAGAGGCTTTATGCTCTTCTCGACATTAGAAGAGAAACTCTTTTATCATTTAATTATGCTAGCAAAAGTTTCCAAGTAGGGAAAGGAAGCTATAGTCTAGAGACAACATTGAGAGCACTGTCCTAGCATTCTTACCTTTTAGTAAGCATCTTCCTGGAGTAGAATGAAAAGGGCATCACAAAGGGGCTTCTAGTGGCATTGTAATAATCCTAGAGGGTTGAAATCTCACCGATTTCTTTGTAGCTTCTGGGTAAAAAAGAGTATTTTCTTCCAAAGGTATTCAACTAAGTAAACTGTCAGTAGAAAATACTGATATGTTTAAATGATCAAAAATGTATATATTTGGATCAAAATGAAGAAGTTTAAAAATACTTTTTCCTGAAACTTAAAGAAGAAAATTTTTCTTCTTTTTTTTTCTTTGATTTTTAAAAACCTTCTAGAGGAGGTTTTTCAGAAGGCCTGACGGAAGTCCAGGAATGCCCTGCCATCTTGGGTCTCCCTCTTCTAGCCCAGGTTTTAGGATATTTGACCTTGGGTGTAATGAAAAACAAAATGGATTAGCTTTAATAAACATTTTTATTCATACATCATCCTGTTTTGTAGCAACATCAAAACCCTCAGGAAGTAACGAATATTAGAATTTAATGTTGTAATAAAAGCTTAAGTTGTCATCTTGGCTTGTTTCATCAAAGAGGATGTGCAGTGTCTTAGCTGGATGAGTGTGTGTGATTCTTGGCACCTCCAATGGGTCTCACACTGTTTTTAGGTCTAGTGAGAGTGTGGTTTAAAGAGAGAGATGAGATACAGTGAGATGGACTGTATCAGTAGAAGACATGCTGAGACCTTGGCTTCTACGGCCAAGTCCTCCTACCCCTAAATTACTGTGAAACAACCTGTCTCATTGCCTCTTTTGAGCCTCTATTTCCCTGAAGGAGAGGAGTTTACAGAGCGGAGAGAGGGATCAAGTTCATTGAATATGAGAACACAATTTTCTGTGTAATGGCTACTGCCAGATGACATGGAAGATTATCTCAAAGCACTGGTACAGGAAGGAGGCGGGAGGCAAACGATCAGTCAGGAAATGATCATGGGAACAAGTTATGGTCTTTTTCTCTAACATCTATCAGATCAAACTGCAGCTCAGTGGAAACTAAACCAACTAAGTCACTGAACAAAAACACCAAAAAACAAATTTGCTGGGAAATAGGAGAAACTGGAAAAAATTTAAATGCTTTCCTATTAGTTCTCTATTTTCTTTCACAAGGGATTTGCAGTGACTTCAGGGAATTAGAATAAGAAGTAAAGAGAAGATCCAGGCAATTATCTCATTAATTATATTTACAGTATTTGCTGGACACACAGAGACTTCAGTTATCAACACCCACGAATGCATATATACATGCTTGCCCACAACACATAACCAGGAGATTTTGCTGTGTTAAGGCACATATGAGTGCTTTTGAATATTCACCGACACTCTAAAACATATACAAACACCGAGGTTCTTATCTTACTTTCATGGTTTTCCACTTTTTTTGGTCTTCAGACTTAGAGTGTTAGCTCCTCTCTCATGAACAAACACAATGCTGCTCACATTAATATCACATAGGGGGAAATTAAACATCATAACAAAAGTCTGTAACAAAATTCAAGGTGATCATTTGTTGTAAAATATATTCACTACACTAACACCAAATCCTATAACAAAATTGATCTTCTGGGGTTTATCCTTTATCTTATTTCATTTATAGTGGCAATTTCCTTATGATATAAATTCTATTTCAATGTCAGAGTCTACAGAGGAAAGAATCTTTTTTTTTTCCTTTCTAATAGGTAGTCTGGGCTATATAAAGGCTGCAAACAACTTAACTTTACCGTAAGCTGTTTCCTTAAGATCTGTTTTTTTCCCCCTTTTCTTATGTACATTTGCTGAGAACTTAGAAAATGGGAGTTTAGTAGAAAAAGAAAATAAATTTGCTATAGGCTTAATAATAGTTTATGTATTAAATGATAATGAAAAAGGTGACTGTTTCCCCAGCAGTATTTAGCCTTTTTTTTCTTTTAGAGGTATCTGAATACCTACCAGGTGCCCCATCCAATCAAGGAGGAAGCTGCAAGAGAAGGTAGAGATGTAATATTTATCTTATCTATTATATTAAAAATGCGATTACAGACATACAGGTCAGTTATAGGAAGTGATCCATTCTGCAAGCAACAAATCTCTAGGATTAGAATTTAGAAAAGAGAGTAGTTCATCTGAAGTACATGATTGTTTTAGTCAGCTTGGACTGTTGTAACAAAGTACCATAGACTGGGGTACTTAAACCACAGACATTTATGTTTCACAGTTCTCGAGGCTGGGAAGTTCAAGATCAACGTGATGGAAGATTCAGTTCCTGGTGAGAGAACCTTCTTAATGGCTTATAGACAGCCACCTTCGCATTTTGTCCTCGCATGGTAGAGGAAGATTGAGCTCTGGCCTCATCTTTAAAAGACACCGATTCCTTCCTTAGTGAGGGCACACCCTAATGACTTCATCTACACTTAATTACCTCCAAGAGGCCCCATCCCCAAATTCCATCAAAGTGGAGGTTGGAGCTTGAACAAAAAATCTGGGTGGGGGACACAAACATTCATTTCATAATGATGATGATAGAGAGGGTGTAAGGAATAAATGTATGGCCCTGGCTGGTGTAGCTCAGTGGATTGAGCACGGGCCTGTGAAGCAAAGGAATAAATGTTTAACTGTGACGTTGGGTTTCTTCTTTGTTTTTTGCATCTTTCTCGCTTTTTTCATCTTCAATCTCTTTCTTAGAACCTGTTCCAAAGTTTCTTGGATAAAGACTTTTACTGGATTGGTCTCAGGAACAATTCTGGCTGGAGGTGGGAAGATGGATCAGCCTTAAACTTCTCAAGGTAAGGGGCTTCAAAGGAGAGAGAGGGAGAGAGAGAGAGAGAGAGAGAGAGAGAGAGAGATTATGTGAATTAGATCACAAATAGTAGACCAAGAAGAGAGGAAAGAAAACAGGGAGCAGAAAAGGAAATGAACAGTGTGGATAAGGACAAAAAAAGATGACATTTATTTAAAAAAGTGTTATTTATTAATTTTTAGAGAGAGAGAGGGAAGGAGAAAGAGTGAGAGAAACACCGATGTGCAGTTGGCTGTTGCGGGCCCCTCTCTGGGGATCTGGCCTGCAACCCAGGCATGTGCACTGACTGAGAATTGAACCAGTGACCCTTCGGTTTGCAGGGCCATGCTCAATCCACTGAGCTACACCAGTCAGGGCAAAAGATGACATTTTAAAAAGGGGCTAATGAGCATTTTTTTTTTATTCTGCTGTCTTTTGGTTGCTCAGAGAAATGGGGTCTGAATAGGGAGAGAGAATTTGCTTATTGTTTTATTCTTTCATGCCTTCCAACTCCTTTACTTTGTATGTCACCTTGATTGATTTTTCTGATTTCTTACAGGATTCTTTCAAACAGCCTGATACAGAAGTGTGGTACCATTGGCAAAGATGGTCTCCAGGCCTCTAGCTGTGAAGTTTCTTTACAGTGGGCCTGTAAGAAGGTCAGACTTTGATAGAGTCTCAGATCTGTCACTAAAAAGAGGGAGCCACCTCTGGGAGACCCATGGATGGCCATGAGTGTATATTTAGTGAATGCTGAACCTTCTAGGATATGCCACTAGATGTAAGATTAATGCAACTTCCTGGGATTAATGGTTTATTGCTGTGTGCTCTTTGAGAGTAGTTAGATATTATCTTAGCAAATGCATACAGTTTGTTTTTAATATTTCTCATTCAGGTGACTAATGCTGCTTTCTTCATCTCCACATCCACCATTTTGTCAAAAATTTATCTCTTGTGTATGTTATTTTCTGAGCTGATCTGATGAAATCTGTGCAAATATGTACTATAGCTAATGTTCTAGAGAGTTTTTATGTGTGCTAGTGGGTTGACATGTTACTTTTCCCTGGTAATATATTTTTATGTCAAGAGTGGCCTTTTGCAGATAAAGCTTTATTCTAAAGAATAATGCTAAAGAGGATGAGAACAGGGTGGGGCTTTCTTCACACTTACTTAAAGACCCACCTTGACCTAATTTAGTCTTGTTGAGTATGCATAAACCAATATGTGACTATATTTTCCATGCTGTAAGTATATGATTTGTATGTTAATTTACCACAGTGGTCTATATGATAAGCCATTTTTATAGAAGAAAATTTATAGAAGCAGTTTAGGTGGTTGATTCTTGAATCATTTTATGCACAGGTGCCTCAAAATTGAGAAAAAAGTTATTATTTTTTTCTTAGTAGGATTTAGACATAAATAAGTGAGAAGATGCTGTTTAAAGATATAGAAGTGAGTAAGGAGGGAGACCACAACCCTGTACTGCTGATGACACTGTATTGTAATCTGCTTACTTGTCTTTCTCTTTGTAGTTTTTTAGGATGTGGACTCTATCTTATCCACCATTGTATCCCAAACACCTACAACAGCGTTTGTATCAGTGAATATTTAAATAAAGAAATTAATTTTAAAATAAAGAGAAATTAAAAAATTCTTATTCACTGTGGCCTAGTGGCTTAGTTAGTTGGAGCGTTGTCCTGTACACCAAGAGTTGCGTGTTTAGTCCCTAGTCAGGCACCTGTGGGAGGCAACCAATAGATGTTTATCTCTCTCTCTGTCTTTTTCTCTCTCTAAAATCAATAAAAAATATCCCTGGTTAAAACGTAAAAATTTAAGTATATTTTATTGATTATGCTATTATAGTTTTTCCAATTTTTTCTCCCCTTTATCCCCCTCTGCCTTCATCCCCCCTCCATCCATCATCCCCCCCATCCTTAGTTCATGTCCAAGGGTTATACATATAAGTTCTTTGGCTTCTCTATTTCCTATACTATTCTTAACATCCCACTGTCTATTTTTTGCTTACCAATTATGCTTCTTATTCCCTGTACCTTTCCCCTCATTCTCCCTCACCCCACCCCCACTTTTAACCCTTTATGTGATTTCCATTTATGTGATTTTGTTCTTGTTCCAGCTGTTTGCTTATTTTTTGTTTTTTGGGTTTAGTTGTTGATAATTGTGAGTTTGTTGTCATATTAAAGTTCATAGTTTTGATCTCCTTTTTCTTAGATAAATCCCTTTAACATTTCATATAATAAGGGCTTGGTGATGATGAACTCCTTTAACTTGACCTTATCTGGGAAGCACTTTATCTGCCCTTCCATTCTAAATGATAGCTTTCCTAGATAGAGTAATCTTGGATGTAGTTCCTTGCCTTTCATGACTTTGAATACTTCTTTCCAGCCCCTTCTTGCCTGGACTGTAAGGTTTCTTTTGAGAAAGCAGCTGATAGTCCTTTGTAGGTAACTCTGCCCTTTCCTCTTGTTGCTTTTAAGATTTTCTCCTTATCTTTAATCTTGGGTAACTTAATTATTTTGTGTCTTGGTGTGTTTATTCTTGGATCCAACTTGTTTGGGACTCTCCGAGTGTCCTGGACTTACATATCTAGTTCCTTCACCAGATTGGGGAAGTATTCCTTCATCATATGTTCAAATAAGTTTTCATTTTCTTGCTCTTCCTCTTTTTCTTCTGGCACCCCTATGATTTGGGTGTTGGGACATTTAAAGTTGTCCCAGAGGTTCCTAAGCCTCTCCTGATTTTTTTGAATTCTTGTTTCTTCATTCTGTTCCAGTTGAATGTTCATTTCTTCCTTTTGTTCCTAATTATTGATTTGAGTCCTGGTTTTTTTCCCTTCACTGTTCGTTCCCTGTATATTTCCCTTTATTTTGCTTTGTATAGCCTTCATTTCTTCCTTTATTTTGTGAGCATCATTTTTGCGACCATTATTTTACTCAATCATTTCTGTGAGCATCCTGATTACCAGTGTTTTGAACTCTGCACCTGGTAGGTTGTCTGTCTCCTCACCAATTAGTTCTTTTTCTGGAGTTTTGATCTGTTGTTTCATTTGCGCCATATTTCTGTGTCTTGTTGCACCTGTTATGTTGTAAGGGGCAGAGCCTTAGGTATTTGCTGGTGTGGGGCAACACACTTTGCTGTGTTGTGGTGTTGTTTGTGGGGGAGGGGTTAGAACAATATCACTTGCTGGGTTGCTTGGTCCTCACCCCACTTTCTGTCATTTCCCTTGCTTCCCACAAGCAGATTGTGTCCTTTCAGGTGCTAATTCCCAGGTGGGTGGTTTTGTATATGTTCTAGGACCTTGTGGGTTTCTCCAACTAAGTCTCTTGTGAGGCTGGGAGTTTCTCCCACCACCTCAACCCCCACAGGTTTTTACAGCCAGAGGTTTTGAGGCTTTATTTCCCTGCTGGAACCCTGGGTCACGTAGTCTGTCTTGCTCCTCTGTTGTTCCTCCCGGCTTATCTGCCTGTGAATGCAGGATGGCCCAGTTCACCAGCTGCAGCCTTGCTATGTGTCCTCTCCACCCTGGCTTCCTGACTCCACCTGTCCTACCAGCCTAGATGAAGGTCTCTTCTTTAACTCCTTGGTTTTGGATTTCTACGCGGTTTGATTTTCTGGTGGTTCTGGTTGTTTTTTTTTTTTTTAAATAGGTTGTTCTCCCTCTTTTGGTTGTGCAAGGAACTGAAGTGTATCTACCTGTGCCTCCATCTTGGCCAGGACTGTATTATCAAATTTAAAAATTAAAAAAAATTGAACTCTAGTTGTTTCTGTTAGTACGTGAATTAATTAGAGGGATTAAGGACAAGAAACATAATACAGTCAAACCTCAGTTCTTGAATGTCTCCCATCCCAGACAATTCAGTTCACAACCAAGTTGCTCACAGGGATAATGTCTCAGTTGCTGATCAAAACTTCGGTTTTCAACCTGACAACTCTTTCATGCTGATACCTGTATGGTCAGTAATGTGTCTCTCAGGTGACAAAAGACATTCGATTTTTGAACAAATCATTTCTCAACAGCCTTCTGGAATGAATTAATTTGGAGAACCGAGGTTCCACTATCTATCCTAATCTTCCCTAGCCCCACCCATGTGAACATTCAATAGCTGACTCTACAAAGGCAAAGCATCAGTTCAATCCAGCTACAATGTTCATAGAAGGAAGTAATGGAAACTAACTCCCATTTCCTTATGAACTCTTACCTTTGGTTCCAGGGCCAAGGGATATCTCTTGGTAATGGGGTTATGGATGTGATGGTAGTGACTCTCACTTGGTTAAGGATGTAATGATAGTGATTCCACTTGGATCATGGCTTGGATGATACCGGGTATACAGTCATCTTTACTTATTCAAAGACAAATAAAGGCGTGCAGTAGCCTCCCAAGTTCTCCTCTGAGCAGACCGTGTATGTGCAGCTCTTCTCTGTGACTAGGCTCAGTCCTTTTGCAAGGGTTTTCACCACCTGTCATCAGAATCAGATCAAGTTCTTCAATGCTTTGCCTCTTTAAGGATGTGGCATTAGACATAGCTTGTTTCCTAGTAATTTATTTATTTTTTTAGATTTATTTATTAGGGGCTAGGATCAGTAATTGACTCAATTCATTTACTCTTGCCTCATGACAGAAAGTTTGGTTGAACTGACAACTAAACTTTTTCTATCAGCCCTTGTACTCCACAGCTGACCCTTTGGTGAACCTTATACCCTAAACTTATTTAGAGTGTGCAGTGTTTGGAATAAGACATTTATTAAAGATAATAAAAAAGCAGTAACCAAAGCAGAATGAAGAAAATCCAGAGAGGGAAAAATCTCCTTGGAGCTTACAAGCTCTGTAGTATCTGAGGGCTCAGCCGGAAAAGTGAAAATAAGATGATTGGTTAATCCTTGTGCTATGGCAAATTCTTGGCCTCTTATCCATTTTGTTTTTGCTATTTTATTGTACTTTAATCAACAATATCTGGACCTCAGGTACAGAGACTGGAGTGAATCGGACTCAGGTCATGGGGTCACTGTCTCTGTGATCCACGAATGCCTCCTTCATGCGTATTTTCTCTTCCTGTTTCCCTACGTCCATTGCCCTTCCCTCTACAGCAAGGGTGTCGGGCTCATTTTCACCAGGGGCCACATCAGCCTCGCAGTCGCCTTCAAAGGGCTGAAGTCATTTTAGGACTGTGTAAATGTATCTGCTCCTTACCTGTTAAGGAGTTGAAATTACATTCAGCCCTTTGCAGGCAACTGTGAGGCTGATGTGGCCCCCGGTGAAAATGAGTTTGACACCCTGCTCTACAGAAACATACTTCAGTGTTTGATATATAACTTGAGTTTGTTTGTATCCTTATAATATAAGTAGTTTTCTTCTTTATTTGTTTCATATTTAATTAAATGCCTTTTCTATAGATCTCACTGTTTTACTTTTTCTACTAGCATTATGTTTTTGAGATCTGTCTGTGTTGTACTATGTATATGCACTCATTCTTTTAGCTGCTGTGTAGTCTCTGTTTTATGCGTCCATTCTCTTGATAATGGACACCTAGTTGGCCTTTGTTTCCCACTCTCACAAACAGTGATGGATGAATATTACCTTCTGTGTTCCTACCTCTGAGCCTTCCCCATCTCAGGCAATGGCCCCACCATCCACTCAGTTGTTCAGATTCCAAACTGAACAACTGATGCTCTGATGCCCCTGATGCTCTGATGTCTCTGTTTTTCAGTCACTACATCAACCGTTTTTTTCATTTCTACTACCAAAACATTCTAAAGCTCACCACTTCTCTCCATCTTCACCTTTAACTCTAATCCAAGGCACTGTTGTTCACCTAGCTCATTGTGACAACTTCTTTTACTGAGGTGCAATTGATGTGCAGTGAACTAAATATGTTTAAAGAATAAAATTTGTTAAGTTTTGATGTATGTATATATGTCACCTGTGAACACTGTGAAGATAGTTAGCATGTCAATTCTTCTGAAAAGGTTTTCTATGCATTTGGTAATTCTTCTTTCTCTCTCTCTTCCCTTTGCCCAATACTCCTCCTACCCCCAGGCAACCTCTGATTTACTTTCTGTCACTATAGAGCAGATTACATCTTCTAGAGCTTTAGAGTACATGGTTTTACAGAGTCATGAGGATCATTGTTTTGAGATTCATCCATGTAGCTGTGTGCATCAGTAGCTTACTCCTTTTTATTGCTAATATTCCATTATATGGGAATGTCACAATCTGTTTATCCATTCACTTTTTGATGGACATTTAGGTTGTTTCCAGTTTTTGCCTACTAAAAATAAAGTTGTTATGAACATTTGGGTACAAACCTTTGTATGGGCATAGGCTTTCTTTTCTCTTGAGTAAATACTTACGAGGTAGAATGATGGGATCATATGGTAGTTGTATGTTTAACTTTATAAGAAACTACCAAGCTCTTTTCCAAAGTGTTTGTATCATTTTGTGGCGGACTCCGGCCACCAGAGTCCACCTGTTGTGGCTGATGGCAAGAACGAATGCACAGGCGACTGCAATCCTGTGGAGAAAAAGGGAACAGCACGGCCACTCTCTCAAGGGGAGAGCACCTATGGATGCCTCAGCCACTCCCTCATGAGGAGAGCCCTCAACTCCTGCCTAGACAGGCTTTTATTATTTTCCTTGGGTCTTACATCAGAGAAAGATTTATTACCTATTACATAGAATATCATCTACATTTTAGGTGCAATCAAGGAAATGAAAATAACATGCAGAGGAGAATGGTGATGAGCTGATTAGCTCTGTTCTTGGGAGAACTCATACAGGCTTTGGATATTATCTTGAAGATAGACAATACACATTTGTTGTTTTAGACCAGGGTGATGGAGTTTTAGCAAGAGCAAGCCATAACAGTCTGTATGCATCTTTTAGGCCTGATTTCCATGGGAAAACCTGGTTTGAAGGTCTGGCTCCTGCCCACCACTTTGCTTCTGTAGGTTTTCCATACAGAGCTGAGTCACATTTGCCTAAAGCAAACTGGTCCCCTACACCATTTTATATTCCAACCAGAAGTGTGTGAGAGTTCCATTTCCTTCACATTCTCAACAATACTTTGTATAGTGAGACTTTTTAATTTTAGCCATTCTATTACGCATATAGCAATATCTTATTGTGATTTTAATTACCATTTCCTTAATGATTAATGATGTTGAGCATCTTTTCATGTGCTTATACACCATCTATATATTTTTCTTTGATGAAAGATTGTTAAAATATCTTGCCCATTTATTTGTTTGCTTATTCATTTGAATTTTCAGTGTTCTTTATATATGCTGTATACAAGTTCTTGTCAGATATATACACATTGAAAATATTTTTCCCAGTCTGTGGCTTGTCTTCTTGTTCTCTTAACAATGTATTTCAAAGAACAGAAATTGTTATTTTTTATGAAGTCTAGTTTATCAATTTTTGTATTATAGTTTGTACTTTTCTGTATATTGCCTAAGAAATCTTTGCTTAGTCCAAGGTCACAAATATTGCCTTTGTCTTCTAGACATTTACAGTTTTAGGTCTGTGATCTACTTTGATCTAACTTTTATATATGGCATAAGTTATAGTTTGAGGTTATTTTTTTCTTCTTACAGATGTCTAATTGTTCCAGCACCATTTATGGATATAATTACCCCCTCTTCATTGAATTTCCTTATAAGCTTTGTTGAAAATTAATAACAATATATATGTAGGTCTATTTATGCATTTTCTGTTTTATTTATTTATGTGGCCTGTCTTTTCACTTCTACCTCAGTGCTTTATAGTGAGTCTTGAAATCCAGTAACATAGTCCTCCAAGTTTGTTTTTTATTTTTCAAAATTGTTTGAGCTGTTCTAGGTCTACAGGGGACCAATCCACATGGCAATGGTGAATGTAGCTCAGCCCTGATTCGGAAAACTGACGGGTGTGAGGTGGCACACAGGAGCCAGGCCCACAGATTGGCTTTCCCATGGGGAACCAGGCCTGCACTATATCTAAGCTGCTTTAAGGCTTGCTTTTGCTAAAACTCCATCACCCTGAATTAAGGCAGGAAATGTTTAATGCATATTTTTGAAGTAACTTCTTAAAGTCTGTGCTAAACCTCCCAAGGACAGAGTGTAACCAGTTCAGCTACTTTTTCCCTTGCATTTGCAACATCCTTTTCTTTATTATCTGCAAAAGGTAATCACCGAAAGCAAATCTTTGCATATGAGGACCTCATTTAATCTTTGAATGAGGACTTTCCTTGGTGTAATGCTCCCAGAAAAGCAATAAAAGCCTGTCCAGGCTGGGGTCAGGGCCTCTCTCACTCAGAGGGTGGTCACATTTTCCCTTTTCTCTGCAGGACATCTGCAGTCCGTGTGAATTTATTTGTTGCATCCAGAACACTGTGGACACCACTGGCTGGGGTCTACACCATAGGTCCTATCATTTTTTTCAGTAGATTTTAGATAAATATTTATATGTTATTTTGTACATTTATGAATATATCTGTGGGAATTTCTAGGTCAGTGGGTACTTTCAAGTAGGCCTACTAATTTGAACTCTCTAGCAATATATGATTTAAAGTGCCAATTT